AAAAAGATTGAGACAACAGGCTCGGGAAGCTGGCTCATTTAATAAAAATAAAAAAAAATAAAAAACACTTTTACATAACAGTCAAGATCTTGTAAGCCTTGGCCTGTGTTTTAGAAAACTGTCCTCATAACATATTGGAAAACACAGCGGCTCAGAGCTGCAGGTCCTTCCTCCAAGTCATTAGCAGGACAAACATCTCTCCTCAGAGTCTCCCCACTATCTGCTACAGTCCCAGTCAGCATTAGCACGCTGCCAGGGTAATCATTGGAAAAATAAGTGCACATAGCCTCCGGCAATTACAAAAGTAATGAAGTTATTGGTTTTTGAAATTGGACTGTAAAGCTGTGAGGCATTTTTCTCCTCAACCACCAATTATTACAAGGCAATACTAATGACACACTGCTAAATTGCAACCTCAAATGTGTTATTCGATAAAAAGCATTCACCTTCCTTTATTGTACATTGTCTGACTGAGCAGTCAGGCAGAATGAAATGAGAAAGCAAACTCCTCTTTGTTCACCTGAATATCCATCCATATGCTACCATAAAAAAATAAAATGAAAAAAAGGAAAAAAAAAAAAAAAAAAAACAGAAAGCATGCACAAGCGCCTCGTTGACCTGGCACATTCACGAAGCCCTGTTCTGCTGGTTCGCAGAACACAGTGTTTTTGTGCGAAAGGAGAAGCTCTTCAAGAAAGCCACATGTCAGAAGGCACCTCCCGCCAAAAGGGGCCTCGGTTGAGCTCCGGCACACTCCCTGCGCACTGGCTCTGCCCTGACGTCTGCACGCGGCGCGTGGAACAATGCAGAGACCACGGCTGCCCCCCCCCCCCCCCCCCCCCCCGTGTTCTCATTGTGAAGGTGTCAGCACTAACAGAGACCCGGCCTCCCCAGGAAGGCAGGGGAACCTTTGTGAATATCGAAAGGTGGCCCACATCCATTGCACAGCGAGGAAGAGCCGCACAGGACTGAAAGAGAGAAGTCTGTCTAACGTTTACTGCATGTTAACATCCATCCATCCATCCATCCTTTTGGTGACCTATCCAGCAGCATAAAGAAAAGGATTTCTTTGCTCACAAAAATGGCATCAGGATTGATGCATCTGCAAGGACGGTAACAATAGCAGTAACTACGGTTATCAAATACAATGCAGCTGTGATGGCAGCAGTGGACTTTCTTGTACAAATATTTGACTTGTTTTCACTTAAAGTTTGGAAAATGAACAGCATTTTTCAAAAAAGTAATTGAAACTGATTTGTCCTTATGGGGGGAGGCTGTAATGCTAAGTATTGGACTGCAAAATACTCAACTGTTTCATTACAATGTCAGGCTAATGGCAGCAACAAACTACAGTGCACACTAGACTTTGTTAAACCACTACAAGACTTCAGCTGCTATAAAACATTGTACATTTAAAAGTACACACCCATCACATGAATTTTAAAAGCTTTACCTCACATCACTTCATTTACTACAGTAACATCACTTCGTCTACCGCGACACAGCCGCAGCGTGCTATTACAACCACCTCGCCTTCCCTGTAATACTGACATACTTTCAAAAGGAAGAGTCTGAAATTAGATCCTCCAATATCTGCTCATCCTTGTAAAACAGTCACTTTATGCCACATCACATGTGCTGGAACCTGCTAATCAGAGTAACTACATACTAAAAATTTTCGCTGAAACGGTGAAGCTGATCAATGCTGATTCTGACTGTCTTGCCTGTGGGTTACAGGTTATAGAGCTAAAACAAACCTCTACTATAAGATCTGTGCCATGGTATTTTCTTACTTGTAACACTCAGCAGCTACAGATTATTAATTATAAGAATAGTTACAAAGATATACGAAGTGTGCAGTCTGAAAACTAATTATTGTGGTACATTTTGAGGTTGCATGGTGGGATTGGGTCCACGTCTGAACCATGTGGAGATTAAGTATTGGGTTTTGTTTTGGGTTTAAAGCCATTAAACAGGACTACATAACTCATTCTGAGGCAAATTATGTCGTGTTGATGTCTTTGCCATTTACAAATGACATATGACAAATGACAAAACGGGCACAAAGATAAAACAACCGCACACACTTCAAAATCAATTCAAAATCAATTATGGATGAAATGGGGGTGGGGATATTGCAAACTAATAATCAATATCTTAACCCAACCCAAAACACTGACGTTATATCCCTGCAGCCCTTACCACATGCGGCCTGGATGAGATACCCGCGTTACAGGGTGTTTCAGAAGCTAAGCCTACTCCCCAGATACGAATCATGAATCACGCATGCAAAAGTAACCACTGAGTGCATCTCCTGTTGTCAAAAAAAAGGGGCAGATACTGATGTGACTGGTGTCCCTTTGCACCTTTGCATGAGTGGGGATGGTTCTTGGCCAACATCTGCAGTGAGGAACACGGGACACCAGGGATGGAAGAGCACCCAAAGACTGACCAGGAAGCACTTCCATCCTTTCTGGCATGATGGCTCAGCGTCCACGATCATTATCGTCATCCCATCTGACCAAATGCAACACATAGCTAAAGCAGTTACCTTTACAGTGGGGCTGAAAAAAAAGCCTGTAAAGTTCTATAAAGCTAAAACAGGGCCCACTAAACCATTTATCTCAAGCAGAGACTTTCACTCCAGGAGGAGAATAGAGCTGAACACGCGCTGACCAAAGGCAATTCACTCACTGATGATGAACTTCACTGTGCGCCTTAATATCAAGAAAAATGAAAGCATTGCAAGGAGCATTTTGTAGTACTTTGGGACAATACAGTAATTTACATGAAAATACACGTTTCAAAAACAATGCTTTAAAAAAAAAACAAAACACTGCAGTATGACAAACTGTCAGCGCAAACTGGAGGAAGGAGCCCTCTGTCACTTTCTCTTTCAAAAAAATGAACGAGAAACCAAAAAACAGCCAATTAGCAGCACAAGCACATATTTCACAAATTTCTAGCACAAAAAGCCCAGGAATTAGTGCTGGTACTCACTAACATTTTAAATTAAAATGAAAGTCGTTTACTCCTTGTCCCCAAACATAAAAAAGTCACTTCTCTTGGATTTGAATGTCTCAATCTTAATAAAAAAAATGTTTAGGGTTACTTAGTATTACTTCACCTGGCTTATTAAAAGAATCTTCTCAGTCATGAATACACCACTGCAGGAGATCAGGAGGCTTAATCCAATCTGATTCACAGACTATTAGTGCAGAGTCAGCCCTCGGGCTCCCCCAGCTGCTCAGGGCACCAAAAGCGGAGAAGAGGGAGCAAATGCTGTACTTGTAGCTTCCGGCATGTCACACTCTCCCAGGCCCCAATAAACAGAGCAGCCAGCACAGAGGGCCAAGGGCTTCTGAAAACGGGACACAGTGCCGTCCTGGGAGAGTCACCCCCCTGTCCTCAGAGATAATAAATGCAGTAGCAATTCTAAGATTTTTTTATTTTTATTTTTTTAAGTGGGGCCATAATTCATAGGGGCCAACTTTATCATTAACCAATGGCGTGTTAAATCAGTGAGTGACAGGGAAGGGGGGCTCTGTTTCACCATATCAGCCGGGGCCAGTGCCCCTGCGGCTCTGCCGCTGCATAAATGCGACACTTCTACAGATATACGGCCATAAATTTGAAATATACAAATTTTAAGACCTAAATTTCTAGGTACAAAGGTGAGGACAACAAGTGAAATTGTATGGTATCAGAAAGGACAGTACATCCCCGCCAGGATACGGAGGATAGTTCCAAAGCAGCACACAGAGGTACACTGTGACTTTATCATCCAGGTACAGAACACAGCGCATTGTCACTTCATCAACAAAATACTCTATGATTATATGCAAGATGGTAAAACCGGCACATTACCAACAAGACAAAGAACAGTGAATACATGAAATGAATTCTGAATCAGATTTAGGAACTACTCAAGCCTGATGGAAATTCAAAAATCTATGTAACTAATTCTCTACTAAACTACCCTGGGCCAAATGTTTAAGCCAAGACCAGTACTGAGTGGACCAATAATCACGCGCAATGGCCTCATGGGATGCAGCTGGAGAACTTCAGGGACAGTAAAGGAACAGCGGACTGGGGAAAGACAGCAATAGCTTGGCTGGACGCTGTCACATCTGCTTGTGAAACCTATATGTGTTATCGTTCTAGCCCACAACATAAAGTACTGCAATCCCACAATGCCCTGCAGAGACCACTGGCACACAAAATGGCTGCACACACACCTGCTGTTCCCCTTACATCACATCAATGATTTCTGTAACAATTAAGATCTTTCTGGTGCTTAAGATGGTCATTCACTGCAAAAACACAGCTTAACCTTGGAGCAGACGGGCATTATCTCAAAAGGGTCCTGATTTTGCAGCCCGCTTTAAGGAGTGACACTACGGACACCAAACAAGATCCAAAATAAAAGGAACGATGTTCCAGTCACACTGATCTCCCAGTAAGCTTTATCATTATGTCAAACACCGCACTTCTGCCCCATATCAAATGCCACATTAAACTCCTGGTCAGAGGCAATGTTATCTCCTCTGCCTACGAGCTGTTCAAAAAGAATAATTTTTTAAAGAGTTAGTTACTCAGCTTTGTGCAGCAGTTTATAATCACACGAGTGTCACATTTTTAAAGGTAACCTCAAAAAGAAAGCTGTGATGTCCCAGACAAACAACGTCACCCATGTTCTAATCAAATGTCTGCCATGTAAATAAAAATCAAAGAGAAACACCTCTAACGTCTGAAAAATAATTGGGGGGAACAATAGAGATGCTCTTCTCGTTGCAACAGCCCCTCCCCAGGGACCCGGCAGATACACAGCTTAATCCCTCATCTCTGTCACTTTCTCCCACTGGATTCCCCCCGAGGCAGAATTTTAAACATGGCCACGATACAACAGAAACACCTCTGTGTGTGTGTGTGTGCAAGCGCGCGTGTGTGTGCGTGCACGCCAATTAAAAGCTCCCAGAATCCCCGGCTCAGTCACCCACCTGCTTTTCGCTCAGCGCTGTGATCTTAGCTTGAAGTTCATGAAGCTGCTTCTTCAAATCGGCGTTCTGCAGATGAGAGGAGAAGCTTGTTAGAGCATGTATCTTTCAACACCCTTCCTGGAGGGCACAGTATGTCAGCAAGAGACTTCAGCCACATTCCACCATTGGTGGAATAGGGGGGGGGAGGGGGGGTTTGCTTAAAACAGTAATAGAATTAAAGCATTTTTACACGGTGAATCCTGAATGATTAGCCCCAGTGCTCTATCCAGGTGTGATAGGGAATGAGGAATTACTATTAAGAAGCACTTAAACTTTAGCTGCTGTCTCCCTGAGGATTTACAATGTTTCTCTAAGGGAGGAGGGACTCGCATGCTTCCGAAAGTGATCAAAAAAATCTTCTTGGAATGATCTCCTTTAGAATTACCCATTGAGACCGTAAACTTGATGCAGTAATGTACTGAATGCCACAGATATGAATATGTTAGTCAGAACTGCCAGAGCAGTGAGCAAATTCCTACTTCCTGCCAGCCAATTGGCAGTGAGATATTAAATATTCATGAAACAATCCCAGAGGTGTGATTTATGCAGATTTACAGTCAAAACAAGCCAGATTTTAAAATGTACTATTGTTGAAGATTAATTGTCGATATAGAGTCAAACATCAATGTAGAAAAATCTAGAAAAAAATAAAATTTATAATTTGATAAATGAAACATTGTACATCTATGATATTAAAATCAAAGTTCATTATTCAATGGGGATTATTTTCACTTTTTCTGCATTTCTGTTTGGCCCCGATGTGGTTTAGAAGGACTCGGGCAAACAGAAGATAACAGTATAAGGAAAGTGTATCCGTTTCCGACTATCAGCGTGGGTCTTTCCGCCCCCACACCTCTGAGAGAAGCTCAGACAAGAAACCCGAGCTTCCCTCCGGAGCAGGAGCGGGAAAGCCAGGCTTGTAGCAGTACCGCTGCTGGTTCTACCAGGCTTCAACATGTTTCAGCCTGAATCTGGCCTGCCAATCAGAGACAGAAGGCTTCCCCTATTTCAGCTGAAGCACACGGCGGATGATTCTCATTTTTACCCGTTGCACCGAACCAAGTTATTTTTTTTTTAGGTTGTCCAAAATAAAAATCTCATCTCGCAGGTTGACTAGCCCCCAGCTAAGGACTCAGAGACAGCTTAAAAGGATGAAGGAAAGAGAAGAAAAAAATAAGTTCGGAAAAATATGCCTAAAAATGGATTTTGGTTTCTGTTTGCATTCTTCAATGTACACCCCTGGGGGGGGTGGGGTATGAACAAACTAGAACAAAGAACAGAATTAATACTGTACCTTCATCACTTCTGTGTATACCCAAGAAAGGGGATTTAAATCTTTGACTATGAGAAACACTAGACAAGCGAAGCTGGGCGACTAGAACACTCCCTAAATAATCAGTCCTCATCTGATGATGAGCAAGAGAAGTATTTAGATAGTTATTATACTAGGAAATGATTAGATGCCATCTCATCTTCACTCTACTTATCAAACCAGGAAGTAATACCTAAGCTGGCTCTCAGCAAGCCTGCAAGAGCTTGTACAAAGTAGAATGTGCAGCTTACTAGAACAGCAGCATAAAACCTGCACTCAGCTCAACTGCAAGGACGCTGCCAGATAAAGCAAGCAAAGCGGAAAGTGCTTTCTGCCAAGAGTAAATGAGAACGGCACCCATCCCTGACAAGAGGGACCCAAACCAGACCGCCTTTCTTCCCCCATCATTCCATTCCCTAGTCCCACTAACAGCCTCAACTCAAGCTCACTAAACTAACTTCAGTACAAGTGAAGGACCAAAACCTCTTTATCAGGGGTCTCCAACCCCCCGTCCCACACAGCTTAGTTCTTTCCCAGTTCAATTCAAGAATTGGGTGGTAATTAGCGGAGAAGCTGAATCAGGTGTGTTAAACGTGAGGAAACCCAACAGGACTGGAACCCCTGCTCTACATGCAGATCCAGCCCATTTAAACACGCCAAAACTTCTTCACGAAGGCACCTGACACTCAACATTTTTCACGTTGACGGCATTATAAACTGATGTTAAGCAATTGCTCATTTTCTTCCTGGCACAGGGATACACCGTGGTAAGTACATGACTGAAATTCCCAAGGTTGTATCCCAACATCATAAATATATGGCTCCACATGTGTACAGTGAAGCAAATCATATATACAGGGGACACGCAGACAGATTTGTGCAGTGGACATGGTATGCACAGGATGTTGTAGAGTGAGAGAGGAGGGTGCAGAAATGCATTCTGATTGGTCTGTGCATAACTGGTTCTTACCTGTGGATCCTGCTTCATCTGGGCAACTAGTTTCTATGACAAAAAGAAAAAACTGAATGAACCGCAATATCATGGAAACAGGAGTCATTCTGAAAGATTCATTCTGTGACATGTAGAGTACAATATGTATAGTTGTTCTACCCTATCTGTATGGCGTTTTCCACAGCAGTATATTTCAAGGTGCTACAAACTTTGCACACAGCAGCCCCTACAGTCAAAGACTAGTACTGCAGCATGTGTATCTCACTATCCCTCAGTGAACTGAACCGAAACTAAAACTGATATATCGTTACTTACAGCTTGTGAGACTTATGTTATGGTTTGGGGCACAGACTTTGTTAAAAAGACTCAACAATTTCTCAGAACAAGTACAGGCCTCACTGACTCAAGTTAGCCAAAAAAAAAGAGGAAATTCTGAACACTGCTGGTACCCTGCACATATGAACAGGTTCAAACGGAGTTGCAATTTAAAACACAGAGTATTACTGGAAATGGCGTTCTTGACTTTTTTTTTTTTTTAAAGATCACTTAGTAGTCCAGTGCAAGAAACTCTTCTCAACGTTGTTTTGTGGCCTGGCTAATGACTTGTGAACTGAAACATCTACACAGAACAGCGTGTGGTCAAAGCCTATTCTCTCAGGCAAAACACCACACACAAAAAGGGAATGGCTGAAATTTGCACTTTTAACCACACAAGCCTTCTGAACAAATATGGACGCTCAAGCTTAAAAAGCACAAATATATCATAAGGTAATGTTTTCATGAGTGAAACGGGGGGACAAGTACAGTTAGGGTTGTTCTGGGGCCAATACATCTAGAAGCACTTTTGTAATTAAATAACTATGCCAATTTATAAGTTCTACCAAGCCTTATTTGCAGGTGAGGAATAAGAGAAGTAAATCTACAAAGACTAGTAAACGTGTTTGCAGCTCACAGGCCTTGTGATCAGTACTCAGCATTTTGCATTATTACTGAGATTCTTTCCTTAAATAAATACAAACAGCTTTTCAAAACGATCAGACTAATGCTAGTGTGTTAATGTATGCTGTTCCACAGGTAATACAACAATACACAGAATCATGAGATATGACAGGGTACCAGTGATACCTCTATGGTAAAGAAAAATTAACGCTCTTCTCCATTCATCCAGGCTTTGACTCTTTTCTGGCCCCATCACCCGGCCGCACTCCCTGATTAGACGCCCGCGGCGTCGCTCCGTATCAGCGTTTCTCAAACAGAGAACGTCTTCATAAAGGCTGTGCCTCCGTTACCTGATGGATCTGTATCTCCACTTTCAGGGCGTCCTGTAGCGTTTGTAATTCCATCATCAGTCCCTTCTGTCTGCACGTCAGTCCGGGTGAGCTTTCAGCCTGCAGAAACGCAGAAGAAACGTCGTGTAACCGTTTGCTTCCCACTGATGCAAATTCATAGTCCTACGCGCACGTCCCCACTTACCTTAATTGCCAGCAAACAGAGAACTGCATACACAGATGCTGAATCAGAAAGACTACGGGGTGCCACTTACAGCATGACAAACGATTATGTCCGCCATAAACGTGACAGAATCAAATTATAAAGCATTACATAAATAAACACCACATCTCAGGGACAGGTGTCAGTTTGTGCCATTAAGTATCAAATATTGCACCTGACAGTTAGAGGTGCATGTATTGGCACCAATCCAGATTTACTAGACAGACCAGGTATTGGCCATATGTGACTGATCCACGCATGATACATACTTATTTAGTTTTCGGAACTCCTATTCCTGGTTAAATCGATTTGTACAATCAATCGATCACAATCAACCCCATTTTAGATTTATTTTCGCAGCATTCAGGCTGAACGCCAACACTGCCACTCAGTGGGTGTGAGCACAGTGACTTCCGCCTGCTGTGATGTCATACGCATACCCTTCGCAGTAGGGGGAGCGTTACACCATCAGATAAGAGGTCATGGTCTGGAAGTATTTTATGCTTTTAATCAAGTAGCACAGCGATTTGCAGTCTTTGTAAAAATAAAGTTTTGAGAGGTGGAAGTAGTGTTTAGTGGAAAATTCCACTAAAGAAAGCACACACAATTGTGCGAGACAACGCGAGTAATATGCAAAAAACAACAGTGGATGCTTTGGGAGTTGCTAGCTTGGGCTGTTTTGCGCACTCGCAGCAGCTTGTGAGAAATTGTAGGGCATTTTAAGCATTCACCACTTGCTTATCCTAGCTTGGAAGAAATTCATGTTGATCTGCAAAATTCCTCAGAAAAGCTTAAAATAAAATGTACAAACATGGAACAGTACATTACGCATGTTTCTAGTAGCCTAATTAAAGATTTTTTTGGTGTACATTTTTTCATTTGTATTTACTAGTTAAAAAACTTAATAATACTTTAATATTTTAATGAAATAAAAGCATAAAATTTTAGTATTAAAGAGCTCTTGTATTGGAATCTATCGGTATCGGCAGTTGTGTATCGGAATCTCTACTGCACAGATTAAATTTAATCCACACAAGCCCTTGTTAAGAAATCGAAGCACCCAAACTTATTCTGCACGGTTAATGAAAGATCTCTTATAGACTAATAGCTCTTTCACAGTTAAGACACCTGTGGTTTCAGTCATACAACATCAAGCTGGTAGCCTGCACCAAGTACTTGGAATAAAAGGCAAATTAACAGAAATATTGGAATAACTGCATTTGCTGGTTGTATTTTGAGGATAGAATAAAAGTATCCTTAATTTTAGACAGATAGATAAAAACCCATGATCAATACTGTTGTTGGGGAATCATTTGGACCTACTTTGTCAGAGTCAAAGCAGGAAGTCTGCAGACGCCAGTTCACACTATCGCAAGTGTAATTAATCAAAACTGCAACCCAAACCCTAAAGCGAATCTTCAAACCCAACAACGAAAGTGATTCAGGCCAAAAGGTGTCGTCCTTGCATGGTCACACCTGTCCAAACTACGAGACTACAGACTCTGACGTCAAATGAGCCACTGCAACCTGTCCACCGACCGCTCCGACTTGACACAATGGACGAGAAGCGTCTACGGGGAGCCCCTAAAAAGGCCAGCAAACCTGCCATCTGTTGCTCCCATTCCATAGGAGAAACAGGCATGGGTTTCCACGCTTGTGGCAGATGGCCTCCCTGCCGCAAACGGGAGCTCTGACTCAGCCGGGCTCGGGCCGGATCCACCTTTCGTGGAGCAGACACCGGTGCCACAGCGGAGCAGGAACCGCAAGGCGCTGGCAGAAGTTTACAAAAGCCTGACCGGGGGGGTGGGCTAATGCTGCCTAATGCCGCAAATGCTAGCAGCGCTAGCAACATTAGCAGCAACGGTGTCCCAAGTCTCGGTTACGAAATTCAAATGGGTACCTGCACACTCAAGGAGGGAACTTACTTACAGTTAGCAGATATTCCCAATGAATACATTATAGCCACCTAATCCGGGGAAATTTTCAATACTTTCTGCTGTCCCACTGAATGTTTTACTGAGGAAATTCAGGTTACACCACATTCAGAGAACTGCAAAATCCCGACTCTTATCCTCCTCCATCAGTTCTTAAGCCACTAATTCTAGAAATACAATATATATTCACTTTCCATCAAATGAGTAAAATTAGGTCCATTCCTAAGCAATATATAAGCAACAATACATAGCCAGTTTAAGCTTATTACAAATGTTTTAAAGGGAAATTACATGCACCACTTAAATGAGGGTCTCTAACCTAGCTCCAAAGGCCCACATTAAACACTGTATTTGATTACTGTGTTATTTCTACCAGTTATTAAATCAATTACACATACAATTTTGCAGTCACACAAAAGTGCTAAAAACTCAGTATTGAAAAGTTATACTCCAACAAGTTGCTTAGAAAAGTAGGACTGAAGCCAGGATTGGCTTTTTAAACATGGAAAATGTTTTCCGTCTTACCTTCACACCCTCTCCAGTTTTGAACACCATCCAAGTTGCCTCAGGGATACAGCTGGACACAAGACAATCAAATCAGACTTTAACATCACTTTTTACCTAGATGTCAGCCTTTCAGGGATGGCTCTATCATACCAGAATTTACCCAGAAAATAACTTGTGAATAATTACAAAATTCTGAAAGGCAGCATCTTCGTAATTTGTTCTGTTGCAGTGATTCTAAAGACATTATGACCGGTATGCTCATGCTTCAAGGGCAACAACTGTGCTGACTCTGTGGAAGAATATATGAAATTATAAAAGCTTCACTCAATTTTTCTTCTTGAAATGATCTGAAATTATTTCTACCACAAAGAACTATATATGTTTCATATGTATATAAAATCACACACTTTAACCCAAGCTAAAAGGAAAAATAACTCAACTGTTAATTTTTCGGTGCGAGTGAGTGTAATAGAGTGAAAAGTGAGGCCAGCAAGAGCGAAATCGAGCAGAGCGTCAGCCGTCCTGCGTGACAGACTGCCAACCAGGGCTGGAAGCCAAAAGAACAATAATAGCAGGACTCACCACCTGGCGGGGAAATGGTCCTCTGCTCTCCAACTCCTGCAAGACAGGAGACAGCGACCCATTACACAGAGCCTGCACCCCTTCAAACAGAGCAGGTTAGGGGTGGTCACCAAGAGAGAAGATGGTGACCCATTACACAGAGTCTGCACCCCTTCAAACAGGTTAGAGGTGGTCCCCAAGAGAGAAGATGGTGACCCATTACACAGAGTCTGCACCCCTTCAAACAGGTTAGAGGTGGTCCCCAAGAGAGAAGATGGTGACCCATTACACAGAGTCTGCACCAGCGATTGGTATTTAATCAGGTGCCAGTGTAACTGTCCCTTATAAACTAGTACCCGGAGTAATTATGATGAGGAACCCATACACACCACTTTATGTAGCTTATAATTTCAAGTTTCTTCATCTTGGCCAATTAACCCCACATTCATTTCTTGTAAACACACATATATAAAACATGCAAATACAACCAAATGTTGTGTAGCTAATTCATAAAATAAAAACACTACAGTAAATGATTATGTTACCATTTAGACAGTATATGGGCAGATGAACAGTTTTTATTAGTGGTCTAAAACAGAAGTGGCATCAATGCATGTTTTGTACCAATATATCCGTTTTACCCAGGGATGGACATAACTGGTCCACAAGTACGCATTCACCTTTAAAAACGATACGTGCAACAATCGATTGTTTGTAAAAGTGCAAATGTTTACTTATTTTATGTGCATTTGCGCTGCTATGACAAGAAAATACCTTGCATTTTAACCTGTATATCACAAATGAAGTAGAGTTAGCATATAAAGATTAAAATTCATTATATTTTGTTGTCATATCAGCGCAAATGCACATAAAATAAAGTACGCATTTACACTGTTACCACAGTCGATTGTTGCTCTAATCATTTTTAAAGGTGAATGCGTACTTGTGTACCAGTTCTGTCCGTCCCTGGTTATGTCTGAGCTCCAGTCTGGGCAAGAACAATCACCAAATACACTTAACTGGCATACAGGAGACCCCCAAAATCACAGCTTTGTCAGCCACGTTTAACAATCTAAAACATTTAAAAAAAAAAAAACTGAATCCGATCAATCAGTTAATTTTCACATTATATGATCAATATAGATTAAAGGACTGCTAACGTCCTGGCCTTTACAGTTAATTCATTTATTAGCATTTGACCACTAATAATATTCACTCATTAAATTTTTGCTGTCTCTGATATTTATATGCTTTTCCTGTCAATTCTTTTTTGCTTTTTACTCTGTAAATTCAGGTATAGGCATAAAAGTAAGAAAAATACAATAACACTGACCACATTTCTTAATATTATCCACTGCAGTAGATCTCATTAAATCATTTGCAACAGAAGCAATTCATTTGCAGCTGGAAAAAACTTGTTAGACATGGTTTTACAAACTATTCGCTAGTGTTCAACAGCTTCTTTCAGTCGCAAAAGAGATCATGCAACTTCACTATATTTATTTCTTTTCTGTCTAAAAATGATCTTTACGTCACCGTTAAATTAACATTACCAAACTCTGAACGGGTGTGTCTAATCTGATAATCATTTAGTCCCCCTGAAAGAACAATGCTGCAAGATCCCAACAAACTTAGTTTCTACACAATCACCTCAGTGACAGTAATGACTTGGTGCTAAAGTCAACGCAGACATTGTTTATGTGAGACCATATTCCCACACCTTCTGCTCAATGACGTTCCAGCTTCACATGCAAGACATCAGACTCAGTAGCAAATTAACATGTTATGCACAGAGAGCAACATTGTTGCATATCAGTTTCAGGCTCCCAAGACAAATATTCTACCCCTGAAAACTTTAAAAGCCACATTACAGCTAGAATAACGAGCTGGCTGATGATGTGAGGCGACTCCTGATGTTTCACATCCTTGATGTTTTATCCAGATCACAAAGGCACCTCAAATGGCCCTCAACTCTGGCATAAAAATACTTGAGCAAGTCAATAAATTAACAAAGAACCACAAACCATTTGAACCAGCACTTCTTGTTAATGCAAAAAAATGAAATTTACAAGTTTTTTATATTTACAAAGAATATCATACAACAACTTCTAACATTCTCATAAGCTTTTACGTAATAAAACTACATGCCATATTCAGCCCATCTGTTGACTTCAGGTTCTTTACTATGGGTCTGACAGTCAGTAGATTATAGGTCTTACACTGGTCCTAGATAAGAAGGCATTTCAAAAACCAGACAATATTTTCCACAGTTTTCCCAATTCACTGATCGGAGTTTGTATTTCATCATTTAACCGACAGTTGTGTATTTGCTTTTCTTCTTATCAAATATGGTGTCAAGAGCAATATGGCAACCTGAGGCAAGAGGAGCCATGTTTTCCCTTCCAGAATCATCAATGTGCACTTTTATGCCAATGACACAATTGAGATTCGAGAAGTTTTACAAAACTGAAAAGTTGTATAGTAAACAGCTCAGTACTGCAAACAGAAACTGATTAAAATGTCTCATAATAAATGGCTTCAATCTAATTTAGGAAAGCTCAAGAAGAGAAAACAAATCTTATTCTGTAAACAGATATGACCAAGCATCTTTAGTACTAATAAACCAGACTTCAGTTCGAAAAAAACAAACGTACTTAATATTTCAGATATTTGGTATCACGGTTGATATTCCAGTTATTTCAAAAACCAACATAAAGTACTCCATATTTAGTACACAGTGAGAATGCTTAGATTTGCCAGTGCCGCATAACTTACAGATACATGCATTACGAGTTAAGTATTAAACTTATAATAACCAATTGGCCATGATGCATGTATTTGTATGTTATTTATTAAGCTTATAACAATCAAGCCATGCTATATAAATAACAATCACGATATGTAGCAGTTAAGATTAAAATGCTTATATTTTTTTTGTTGCATCTTTCCACCGGTTAATTGCTACATTATTTAAAACCCTTGCATACCAGTCTGAACAAAACACTGTAGAAAGCTGAAGAGTCAGACTTTTATTGATGGGGTGTACATAAATTCCGCAGTCTACTAAAGATCCACTTGTGGTAACCATAACTAGTTATTATTATTGCCATGATATAGTTAAAAGAAAAAAATGGTAAGCAACTAATATATTGGACAACAAAAATGTAACGATCGAATAGAAACGTTGTTCATCACTTTGATAAACAGACGCCTACAGGTTATTAAAATAAGCCCACTAGAAATAAAGGTGGATAAAACATCACGTATAACAAAAATGCCTACAGTTTTATTATGCAATAGCGGTCTGGAAAAGGGGCAATTAATAGGCACGCTCGCCTACCTGGTGCACAATAATCAACAGCAAATGACTTTAAAGTGATCCAAACAAAGAAGGGAAGTGGAATAAAATGCGAAAAAAGCGAAACATTTCACACTTAAATAGCCGCGCAATGAAATGCCACCAGCTTCCAGTGATATAAATATATAAAAAAGCGAAAGGCCTAGCTAGCTTGGAGGCTACCAATACGTGCAAATACAAGCCCGGTGTCTTATTTCTTTAAATGGGAAGCGTTACAATTAAACGGCTGCACCAGCAGGGAGGGGGGGGAAGGCGTCCAGCGAAGGCGCATAAATAAATAAATAACGTCCGGACGACTTGACGCAAAGTAGTGATTAAGTTGCCCGAAGATGGTCTGCCCTGCTAGCGGGAGTTTCTGCTGCCCCGGTCGAGGTGCGCTTCGGCTTGCGATCCGTTGCTCGGCTCCGAGCCCATCAAGCCGCACCGCCGATCGCCCGCTTCACCTTAACTTGGGTAACGAAATACCCCCTTTTTTGCCCCAGCGTCCGGCAAGTTACATAGTTGCGCTCCTGTAACAACCACCCCCCCCACCCCCAAGACAACAAGACGCATGTAGCTAGCCGAGTACCAGCGCTACACTGTACATACGGAGAACAGCCAAAATCATCAAGTATTACGCTGTGACCGATCGCGACAATAAGATGAAGGATCCCGCTACACTGTTTAAGTGGCATTTCTTTACTGTTCCAGGTATTTTATTCCCCCTCCATAAACATAAAACGTGCGTAATCATATTTAATATTCGACCGCAGCAAGTTAGATCTGCGCCTCAGCGGTTCGTTTCTATCCGTCCAATAGCTATGCACTTAGAAAAATATCACTCAACTCCTAAATACGGATAAATGAACAAAACCGGTGAGACGGGGACCGCTTTACCTCGCCCGAAACACTCCGGCGGCGTGAGGAAAAACAGCCGTGCCGCCCCCAGAACCGAACTGGACTCCAACAGGGAAATAAACAAAAGTTCTTATAATATAAAGACCCCGAGGTGCACTTACCCTCCTCTCTTTTACTCACTTGAGCAGCAGTCAACCCTCCTCTCCTCACAAATTATTTAAATAATTATTTACAAACACCCCCGTATCTCTGTACCTAATCCTTTCCCAAATATAAAATTATTACGCCGACGTCTAAATAACCCCCCAATGAATATGATCAGAGTTTTCGTTTCAATTTATTTTTTTTTATTTAATTTGTCTAAAAAGAGAGAAACTGAGATACAAAACAAGAACTCTTCTTCAATCTCATTCACCCCCGGCCTGAGCACATGAGTTATCAATGCGCGCAGGAAGAAGGGGAGAGAAGGAGGCAAAAAAAACAGTGAAATAAAAGACGATAAACGGGATAATGGCGGCTCCCGTGTTTTTGGTGACGATGAAATGAGCATTGAGTGAAGGTGCTTGTTTCGACGATCACCGCGTACGGGAAAGAAAATGAGTTTCAAAAAGAGAACTACTTTGTGTGACGGTGCGGCGAATTTATTTCACTTTGCCTAAGGAACGGCGGTGCTGCGACTCCCATTGCCTAGGGAAAAAACCCGGATGTAAAGTCAGCAAAACTCGTCTGGAGTGAAGTTACTCACTTAATGTAGTGCGAAGAAGTACGCGGAACATGCTCTGGATGGTACCGCTGCTGGGTCCCCCCCCCCGATCGTGCTTTCTCTGACTGCGTGTTTCTTCCTAACAGTCCGATGGGGACCGACACGGGTGCAGGGGATGAGCAACGGGGTTTGCGATTCAGTTTAATACGGAGACCCCGGTAGCGGATTGCATGTCGTTCATTAAGCTCAAAAAAACCGGATGAGTTGCAGGAATAAGAACAAAAGCGAGCTGCCGTTTAACAGGTAGCGCGGACTGTAGGAGCAAAATGACGGGGATGGTTGGCGGGGTGGGTGCAGCTCGCCTCGCTTTTTTTTAACGCCACCCGCCTGCTTTCCGTGCAGAAAGCAGTCAATACGTGGCAGGAATTAGCATTAGGTGAGATTTTCGCTATTAAGCCTCTTTAAAACGGACAATCTGGTTTAAGTTCAATGTGCATTCACATGACTCGGTGAACCGAGTACATATTTTAGGTTATCAATTTACAGTAAACGCTAAGTCCATTTGTGGCCTTAATGCTAATATAATATGGATTTTCATAGAAGCAGTCACTACCTGTTTCCAATTACCATAACTGAAAACATATTATTGGCATACTTACCAGGTGTAAATTATTACCAGATGCATGACTTTTCTTTATTTAATAAAGAAATATTTTCATAAGCTATAATTTTTACATTTAATTGTATTTGAGTATTTTGGATCTACGGTGCTTGCGAATAGATGCTTAAAACTAAATATTAGGCAAACATTTATGGTATAAATATAACAAAATGAAACCATTTTAGATAGTAAACAAAATAAACGACAGTGCATATTCATATAGTTCCTGATTTCCGTTTCTCCATGTGCTCTGTTAACTCACGTGTTGGGGTACATGCTTGATCATTTTATCTTTTTACCTCTCAAAGACTGATACCGGGAGCTGGAAAAACGCTGTTCTCGATCGTGCCTTTACATTACGAATAAGAAAGTCATTGGTGTTGCAAACAATATTTCTTGACGTGTATGTGATATGTATTAAGGAAAAAACATGGTTACTTTATGAATGAAGCGTTTTGCTTTGTAGGCTAATTCAAATTAGAGAACAGTAAGTGATCAAAAACAAATTAATCTTAACTATAATGCACGGTAAGTCATCAGAGTAGTTTATAAGAAATTCAATTAAATCAATAACAAGGCATGGTAATAGCATTTTTAAATAGCTCACAAAGTGATAACGATGGAAGTGACAAGCCGTTAGTCATTTTTTATCATTTGATCCTTGGGGCCCTTCAGCAACACGGAGCATTTTAAACACCTTGTTAATCCGCGCTAATATCTAAATGCTCTAAATGAGTTGATCTTTCAATTAGAACTACAGTACAGGTGCAGTAAGCTTGTTTATATTTCTATTTGTTTGTTTGCTTATTTGTTTACTTACTTATTTGGGGGGTCTAAAATAGTCTGTAATTTTTGTGCATACAGGAGATGATTGCAGAGTTTGTGCATATAACCAGCAAGTTAGTACAGCAGTACTGTTGTACGATAAGCAAGGAATGACGACAGATTGATGGGAATGGATTCATATGGCCTACACATTACATCCTTCAGACAGAAGGTAATATACAGTATTTGGCCTGTTTTGCAGAGTTGTCCTGAAAAAGTTGTGCGCTTTGAAGGATATGATTTTCATAATATTTTAATATATTTTTTAAATCCTTATGTAGCTGTTTAGACAGTTTGAAATGACCATGAAGAAATGAATGTGGCTGGGCCATCCATCCTTTATCTTACATCTTCAAAATACCACTTTTGATCCCCTGTAATCACTACAAATTTCAAATGACATTTTTACATATCTTGCTTTTATATATGTTCTGGATATTTTTTTCTGTTGTTATTACTGGTATTCTGCAATCATCAGATTTTTATACAGATGTAGTATTCTTTGTATGTAGCTGGAAATTAATTTATTTATATGCTACCCATGTGCAATGGTCATTTAGCTATGAGTCACCATCATTTCCTGTTTTTGTACATTGTATTTGTACATGTTGAATAATAGTGTATCAGCTTAATCAGTTTTTAACAAACCAGAAATCATAAAAAGTTCTAGAATATTGATAAGCAGGGTTTTAAAACACTGGTGCCATCTACTTCAAGGCAGGTACCTAAACTAGACAATAATGTAGACATAATGTACACAAGAATAGTGTTGTGTACAGTTTTCCAGTATTATACTGTCTGATCCCTGTCTATCGGATGCTTGAATATCAGCCTTTGAGTTTTGATTCCATTTCCACTGAGGCACAAAGGTGTATGTTTGTACTTTAACATGACAAAGGTTATGCTAATCTCTTCTACAGAATTATATAATGGAGTCAGATATGAAATCACGTTTACTAGTACATTGAATCCAAGCATTTAGCTGGTTATTCACCTTATGTTCTTTTAACTTCATTTTTTATTGTCTTACTAGGTAAGGATGTCAATAACTTCATAGACACAGATTTTTGAATATTACCAATATCCGAACACAGTGTGAACAAATCAGGAAACTAACTGTTATGATTTTTGTATGTAAGAATGATTGACTGATTTGGCCTTTTTCAGTCACTGGCTAATATTACCTGCAAAAAATGAGGTGATTTCATTTTATTTCCAAACAATGAATTAAAGATGCACCAGAACACAGCTAATTCAATTCAGTTCAAGTCAGCTTTGTCATGTTTCAATGTCAGAACAAGTGTACGATGAAAGACATAAATCCCTTTAGGTAAATTTAGATTTAAAGGTATTAGATTTAGATAAATAGTTAAGTAAGTTTTTTTTTTCCCTCCAGAATTAAATAACATAATAACACATGATTCACCTGCCAAGCTCGCTACGTCTCTGCACGGCTGGCTTAAGGAGTGATTGCTCAGGTGTGTTGGCTTTGAGATGGTGAATAGGTGTGTTTCTGTTGGCTGTCAGCCACATACGTCTTATATTACATCACAATTTTGCCACTCCTCTAGGAAAATACAGGCACTTATTCTACATGTCACGTGCACTTTATTTGGAAACAGTGTCACATTATAGCATATTGATATTTACAATATTATAGCTATCATTGAATACATTTATATACTTTTTTGATTTACTCCAACACTATTTAAGAACTTGAGTACAATATAATTTATATGTACTCAATATAATATTTTACAGAAATTAGATCATTTTTATAATTTCTAATATGTTTCATATGCTATATATCCTGATTTGAACCCCAGTGACATTTAAGCGTTATTTCGTACTGTTCGTACCAACTGCATCTGCTTATTTGCTTCTGTTAAGATGGTATTCTACTTCGCTTTGTCTATCGTTACTTTAAGAAAAACTACCATAAATATTGTAGACCCTTGGACACGTTTATATGAGCGTATTGAAGGTTCACTGAACTTAAATATGAAAACAAATAGTTTGAGTATGAGTTTAACATCAAATGAAAAAGACTTGTTAGCTTTTGAAGGCTAACTTCCTAAGCCATGAACAATGCTACTCAGAGTTATGGTGGAAACACCTTATGTAATTTCACTTTAGTTTCAGTTTCAAATTCCTTCAAATCAGTCATTTAGATATAACAGACCAGAGAGGGGCAATATGGAAACATATCACTTTTCTCCCCTTGTCTGTGTCAAAGTGTTTACATTTTATCTATTTAGGAGACACTTTTATTCAAAGCAACATACAATTCAGAAAGCAGGGTCATACAGTGTCTGGAGAAATTGGAGGTTAAGGGCTTCGTTTAGGGCCCCAACAGTGAAATCACTCTCCCAATACTGGGATTTGAACCAGCAACCTTCTAACCAAAGCACAGCTCCCTAACCCCTGAGGGACCTATAACATAATGAAACACACCTGCTTCTCTTAGCAGATGTTCATTAGGGGACAGTGATACTGAACTGAAAAGATGATCAAGGCGGAGACAAGAAACCGGATGGGTCACATTCTCAATTATACAGGGTCTTCCATTTTTATTCAAATTTGTGGAAAGGCTGAATAACAGAAATATAAAATCAGCCAAAAAAAAGATACAGTTCATTACGAAATATTCAGTAAAATGTTGTTGGAGATTTTTTTTTCTACTAAGTACCAAATTCATATACAATAATATTTTATATTGATTCATGCAAGATTGATATTCATACGGTTTTTATTCAAGGGTGTGTTACATTTTCAGGTCTGGCACTAGATTAAGGACCTGAACTTTCTATGATTTGGAGTTTAACTGCAAAGCTGGCTCCTTGCCAAATAATTATCACAAATATAATTATCACAAACTAAAAGTGGCTGTCAGACTGCTATTTTGGTGTTGTAAATGAGCCATTATATCTGAATCTAAGGAAACGTTTGCTGTTAAAAATATCTTGAGTTGAATATAGTAATGGTTTATTTTATATAATCTGCAAATCTTTTTCAAGTGTATAAATAAGAAAGATTTCCATTTGTTAATTTAGCACATCCTTTGGTTTAGGTTAAGAAGAACTTTGGCAGTGGTAAGTACAACTATTTAAGTGCAGCTTGATTGCACATAAATTGATGTATATTAGCAACCTAACATAGCAATATTCTAACAAAATTGCAGACATAGCTATCTATACTGACAGACACAGTAAGACAATATTTAGGATCTAAAAATGTATGTGTATGACTCGGCTGTGGTCATAAATAGGGCATGATATCAAAGGTGACATGATTTGTCCATATAGTTCCTTTTAAAAGGCAGTCTCCCATTCAGGGATTTTGATGTGAATGTGATTTGATGGCATTGTATCTAATTATTTATTTAAGTTTTGTAAAAGCATTTCTTTTGTTGTCAGGTTGTCTTTGTCACTTTTTGTCCTGTTTATCTGCTCCTCTGAAGGGTCAAAGACTGCAGTGGACAAAACTCGAAAGGTCTGCCACCTGCTGGACGCAGAGAGCGTAGGCTTCAGGTGGAGTAAGGATAAATCCTTACTCCAGCTGCTTATCTAATACAGGGTCGCAGGGGGACTGAAGCCTATCCTAGGCAACAGGCGCAGTGTAAGGGAACACCAGTCCATGACAGGACATCGCAGGAAGACAAACCACACGATGCAGTGGGGAAGATGCAAGCACATACATGCACAATGCAACACATAAGCACTAAAAGCTATAGATAGATAGGAGGTTCCTACTCACAGTGTAAGATGAATAATTAACATTCATACTATTAAGATGATACTAATGAAACCATTAATGTGTTTGACCTTAAAGATGGACTGACAAAAAAAAACTAATGTAGAAATTTCAGGTTTTGCATTTCTTTAATTATCATCCTCCATGTTCAGTTCCTAAGCACTGGTGCTGGAGAGACTGTTCAGATTTATAAAGCAATTATTTATAAACAAATTATCTGACTCATGAAGACTTAGCCACTCATTCTAATGAAATTAATAAACTTTTTTTGTGTAACGGACAATCTGATCTAACTGTTATTAGAAAAAAATGCAATTCCTTCTTAACTCCGGTTGTATTGTCAATGAAAGCTTAATTTACAGTGACTAACGGGTGTCACTTGATATTTCCGAATACGGTGTTCGCACGAATGGATACAACCGCAGCAGGTTAACGTTAAGGCATGCGTCATACTTGCGGGCTCTCGCCTGTAGGTGGTGCTGTTGTCTTTTGTAAGCAGTGCTTCAGCCCGTTAATACTGTACTGTTGAAGAAGCACCGTTCATAGTGCTGTTCACCACTGGAGCCTTGGGGACATGTAAGTGCTTCAGTGATTCTTTCAGAGGACTTGTGGATTGTATTATACTGTCAACTGACGGGATTGTCTGTGTATTATCTTAGTATGGCTGATATTCTATCGCACTCATTGTGAGGGCTGCCAACTCACACTCACGCAAGAAATCTTACTGCAAATCTATTTTTTTCCATTATAAACCAATAAATAAGCTACTGCAAAAATATTTGGGTAGTTTGCAATCCCTATAGACTATTTACAAGGTAATAAAACTGTTACGTACATGTAAATGCGTGTGCGTGTGTGTGCAGACTTCTGGAAATCTCACGCCAGCCAGCTGACTAACGGTGGCAACCCTGCTCATTGTATCTGTCACGAAATGCTTATGTTTTATCCAAATCCTGGTCATTGCATGAACAACACAGAGAACCGTATTACAAATTAGATCACAGTCATTTAGTCACATGTATTATTTGAGAATAATAAAACCCTAACGTCATATATGGCAGCTTGTGGGCCCACAAAGGCCAGTGGATTAACTTTTGAAACTCGAAATGGGATCGTGGGCCGTTTCACTTAAAATCTCAGAAATCTGACAACCAAAAGAGCGTAATCACGAAGGTGCACAGCAGGAAACCAAGAACTCGACTCATCTGAGTGATCCGTTATCCAACTGTCCCCTTGCATCCAGCCGGCTGACCCTGATTAAAATGTACCGGTCAGAGTCAACTGGGATTCGTTAATTGAGGAGTCTGTTGGTGAGGAACTGATGAATAATCATTGTAGAAATTAAAAGATCATCCAGACATCCCCGCACTACCCCCCTGGCTCCGGTGACTCATTTAACTAATGCTGTCATTTTCAGTTCAGGGTTAGTCCTGGGGGGGGGGGGAGCCTCATTCCAAGTCTTGAGTTCATGTTTTTCTTAATTACATTTAAATAAGCAGAAAAGTGGTAGCTATGAATAGCAGTCCGAAATGACGCGATTCATTCTGGGGTGCATAAACGCTGGCAACTTCACTTTCACAGAAGAACATCTGTTTCTCTCAAGCTGTATGACTTTTCCAGGTTACCGTGGTGAAATCCTATATGGCCCGGGCAACTGAAAATGCATATTCATGACGGGAGTCAGAGAAAATAACTGCGTATTACCATTCCAGTAATTCTTTACATATTAAGAGTTTTCTTGGGAAATGGAAAGATCCAGTTGCAGTATTTTATGAATCTGGAAGTCCTCCTGACTACCAAACCACATATAAGTAGCACGGGAGAAAACAGTGGATATGGGATTAGGATTCAGATTTCACGTTAAGGAGGAATCCTGGGAACCCCTTTTGTATTATGTGCAACATTAAACAACAGTACCTGTCATTTGTTTTAATGACCATAATGGCTTCCAAAATTCTGCTGATAGGAGAGCTGGATTTGAGAATGACCTCTTTTTAACTCAAGCGATTTCAAACACAGCACACTACTACTGCTGAAGTGGCATCCTGACAGATACGTCCTGGTGCTATTTCGGAAATCCAGACAGGATGACAGTGCAATTACTATCCTTCTTGGAGGAGATTATGTCTTAAAGACAACACATGTAAAAAATCATGCTGCTGAACTCTTTGTTACCCTATTTGTTTTCATTTAGACTCATATTCATATTTCTTGGCAAGGCAGTTGTAAGGCTGTATTATTTTTGCTCGGGCGGTACTTCACGGTGAAGTAGAAACATATGAAAGCAAATCTCTCAGCTTCTCATGACATTCAGGGCCAGAGCCAAGCTTTTGTACCGTCTGAGTGCTTGAGTCACCCAATTTCAACCCACCAACCTAACGGTGCCACCTCTGCTCATACTCACAAGTACCAACATCTCCAAGTTACAAATATCTCCTAAAAGTATACCACAAATGAGCTTCTATTGGATGAGCTCCATCTACCACCTCAGGACGCTCTTTTTCATAGCGGCCCGTTATCCTGTGACCTTTTCAAGCAATAATCCCACAGACACATGGATTACATAAACAAGGTGGATTGGGCTCATATCAGGATGACCTCGAGCTGCTTATCTCAGCTTTCAGGGGTGTTTCACCTAAATTAATCCCACTGAATTTCATTCTTTAAAAAAAGAAAAAAACACAGTTTTATTGATCTGTTGTTACGTCGGGCTTTTGTAAGGATCTGCTATTTGTTGATGGCTGTCGTCTCCGCATCGTCTCCGTTTTCACGGGAGAGAGTCTATAAGGTCAGAGATGAAAAAGCATTATGGACTCGTGCCGGGCTGACGGATATTGAGGATCATTGTGATTTTGGAGAACACCAGGTGTGTTAGACCTCGACAAAGATTTCCTGCCTGACTTTAATCAGCGTCCCCACCAGGAATCCTCCCCTTCCTCCTCAACACTGCGTCCTGACCTTTATTTCATTTTACCTTTCTTGTGAAAAAGTTTCCATAGGAGAAGCAACAGCTGGCATTTTTCACGGTTAATGAAAGGGAAAGTAAGGCAGAAGCACGGGTGTGGTGAGGTCCAAACACTCAGGGCTATAACCTCCAGGATTTTAGCCCTGATGCCAATCTTCCTTTAAAAGAAATTAAGTCAAGCCCCAGGTAAACTGGACTCGGCCCCCGGTCTTTTCAATAGCTAGAAACTCCCAGGGCAGGAGTGCTGCCTTTTAAATACAATTTAAAAATAATTTTAAAAATCCATTTTAACTAAAAGATAATACTTGTTATTCAACTCTAATAAAATTACTTGTGTGTCTTGCTTTGGTTTTCACAGTAAAACTGATGTAGAAGGTTTTCCTCAGCTGAACTTGGTTAGATTCAGAATTCATCCTCTAATTTGTGTTGCACCATAACCATGCTTTCTTACATAGTAAATGTTTCCGTTAAGTACAAAAATGAATACAAAGCATCAAAAAACAACTTAATAAAATATATTTATACCCGTGTTCCTTTATAGTGGTGGTGTGGAGGCTACTGCAGTCGATTATGCTTACTGCAGGCAGAAAGTTCTTTTAATTAAATGTCAGAGATGGAATAAAAACACAGTCCTAAACTACGTCAAGGTTTATTAGTCCCTTTCCCATTTGACATCTTTAAGATTATCCACTTGAATATCCTTTATGTGTGCTTTCCCTGAATCTTTCCTTTGCTAGACCTAATACACTGAAGCTGATGTTGTCCCAGTCTGTCTTAAGCTGGCCCAAGATGGCTATTTTGAGAAATGGGAACTCACTGTTAGCTTCAGATTCTTAGGCTGGCTGTGAGAACTACTCTGGAGAACATTCATCCATCCATCGTCCATGAAGGCTTATCTAGTAAGGGTTTTGTAGAGCCTGTTTCAGGGGTGACAGGGCAGGGAGTCCCCTAGAGAGGTTGCCAGCCCATGCAAGGCACACAACCAGACGCACAGTCACGCGGAATGGGAAACGTTTATAGAGATGCCAAATTACCTAACCTCGTGTTTTTTCTTTTTTGTTTTTTTAAATTGTACACTATTTTTTTGGACTGGAAGACACCAATGCAAAAACAAGGAAAACATGCAAAGTCCAAACACAGACAGCGCCAGCGGCAAGATTTAAACCCTGGAGGTGTAAACTCAGTTCTGGATTATCTAATTTGCTAGTTTATCATCTTGATCTGTATCATAAAGATTTATATTTAGGAGTTTTTTCATAAGCATCAGAGACAGAAGGATCCATTCAGGGGCGGTGGTTGGGGGTCAGTCCATTAGACATACTTTACTCAGCCTCCCTCCTGCAGATTGGGATTACTCCAACATAACAGTGTAACTTCCACTTAGCTGCACATAAAGCTTGAGCGTGTTTTGCGTGTTTGTATTTCTTTGCGTGTATGAAAAACCGAGGGAGTGTGAGGGAGTCAGAGTCCCTCTGATCTGAAGACGAGCTCCAGAACATTCGCTGAGCGTTAGGCAAGACGGTCCTGAATATGTCTCATTTCACCTCTGGTTCCCAAAGCAATAGCATGTCTTCCAAAAAGTCAGTTATTTAGACATGTTTACAAATTATGTCACAGGGAAGTAGTTATTGCTTCAAAGACCGGAGTCTGTAGACCATTAATCATATACCAGTCAATGTGGATCTTGACTATGTAGTTGTAGAGCTAGCATTACTATAAACGGGCCTATTGGAAAGTGTTTTACTGAAATTTCGTACACTTTGGTAACATGTACTATCATCATAATAAGACAGAGAAATCTAAGCTCTCAGATGCCATGCATAACTCCTGGATATTTGAAGTTTCTGTTGCATCATCACAGTACGGAGCGTGTTTTGCAGTTTTGAAACCAGCGGATTTCAGACTGTGACTCTATGTAATTGAATAAAATAATGAATTTGAAAAGACAGCTAATGAACATGTAATTTAAGGATCACGTTTAAAAGTACTTGTTCGTTATTATGTACTTATTTTCAACCTTGATCTCCATATAAAACAGAAGGCAGAACAACCATATTGTCATTCTCAAAAGTTCAGATGTACCGATAAATTTAACACCATTGAGGGGGAAAAAAGGTTTTCACAATGCACATTAAAATGCTAAAGAGACTAGCTTGATTACTGGTAATTAATGCAGTAGCAGTGAAACAGCACACAGTTCAACAGGCCTGTCTGTGATAAATACCGTGTGGCACTTTCATGTAAATCGTCTCCAAGGGTGATTGTATGATTTTTTTTTTTGGTTTGTGTGGGGGGGGGAGGGGTAAGAGGGGCCATAACTCATACAGGGGAGCAAGCCTTATCATTAGCCAATGATATAGTTTGAATGGGTGAGTGACGGGGGGGGGAGGTTTACTCCAAGTGGCCAATCGACTTTCAGCTGGGGCCAGTGTCCCTGTGACCCCGCCCCTGTATATACCCTGCTATTCTTTTGTTTAATGTGATTAACCTTTAATGTGGAAATCAGAGACAAACTGTCCTTGGATGTGGCCCTGGTGCCACGCCCTTTCTCGAGTCCCTCAGTGTAATTGATATAATTACTGAAATTTCCTAGTGATGGGTGAACGTTCTGCTCTGAAGGACGCTGCATTTTGGCCTGGACAGGAACCGACAGACTAAAAATAACCCGTATACTGTTGGTTGGCCATTTGGATGCAGTTTGTCCTTCTCATTTTGGCTTTCCTGTACAAGAGCAAAAACTGCAATGGAGTTGCT